TGCTAACTGACACCAATTGGAAATGCCAAGTTAAGCCAAGTCCTTCTCCACCTGGTCTTTCCAACGCAGAGGAGGCCTTCCTCTTCCTCTGTTACCAGCATCGCGGCCCACGTTGAATATTTTCAGAGCAGGAGCGTTTATGTCCATTCGAACGACATGGCCAAGCCAGCGGAGCCGCTGAATTTTAATTCGCTGCACTATGTCTATATCGTTGTAAAGCTCATACAGCTCATCGTTATATCGTCTGTGATATTCGCCATCACCAACGCGTAATCTTTCTCTCGAAAACTCCCAAGGCTGATATTATTTTTGTTGTAATGCTGGTTCCAATAAATGAAGTCGTCTACTTTTTCAAACTTGTAACTGTCAACAGTGACGTGGGTGCCAAGACGCGTTTGCTCCGACTGTTTGTGTGAAGACAGGAGATATTTCGTTTTGTCCTCGTTCACCACCAGACCCATTCGCTTTGCTTCTCTATCCAATCCCAAGAGGGCAGAACAGACGTAGCCCTTGTTTTTACCGATAATATCGATGTCGTCGGCATGCGCCAGCAATTGTACGCTCTTGTGCTAAAGCGGTTCAGTTCTGCGGCTCTTATTATCTCCTCCAAAATCAGACTAAAGAAATTACACGAAAGGGAGTCCCCTTGCCTGAAAACTCGTTTGATTTAAAACGGCTCGGAGAGGTCTTTCGCTGTTCTGACGGAGCTGGTGGTATTGCTCAACGTCATTTTACACAGCCGTATTAGTTTTTCGGGGATATCAAATTCAGATATCGCGGCATAAAGGCAACTTCTCTTCGTGCTGTCGAAGGCGGCTTTGAAATCGACAAATGGATGGTGTGTGTCGATCCTATTCTCGCGGGTATTTTCCAAGATTTGGCGTATTGTGAATTCCTGATTTTCCAGGCCTACAGCCACGTGATAAGGTCCAATCAGTTCGTTGACGGTGGACTTTCGCACAATACACTTGATAAGACCTTATAATCTATGCTTAGAAGGCTAATCCCGCGGTAGTTGGCGCGTATGGCGGGGTCGACTTTCTTTTGGATTAGGCAGAGCACACTTAAATTCCAGTCGTCGGATATGCGGTTATTTGACGATATTCTGCATACGAGCTGATGGATGCACCTCATCAGCTCCTCGCCGCCGTACTTGAATAGCTCGGCTGGCAGGCCGTCAGCTTTAGCAGCTTTGTTGTTTTTCAGCCGCGTAATCAGTATTCGTACCTCGTCATAGTCAGGCAGTGGGACAGCTACTCCGTCATCATCGACTGGGGACTCGGGTTCGTCTTCTTCACTACTTTCAGCGCTGCTACCATTCAGTTGGTTGTAAAAGTGTTCCCTCTACAATTTATGTAAGTCTGGGCATCGGTAACTAGGTCGCCATTGTTGTTCGTACAGGAGTTAGCCCCGGTCTTGAAACCTTCCGTAAGTCGCCTAACCCTCTGGTAGAATTTTCGGGCGTTCTTTCTGTCGGCCAGCATATCAAGCTCTTCGCACTAATGTATTTCGGCCTCTTTTCTTATTGCGGCAAATACGTCTCGCCTCCTTCTTCAGTTCCCTATAACGGTCCCACATGGCCCGCGTTGCGCCCGAACGAAGCGTGGCCCTATAGGCGGCGTCTTTTTTCTCTACGGCTTCTTGACATTCCTCATCGTTCGAGTTGTTCTTTCGGGTTCGCTGAAATCCAACTACTTCTTCGGCGGCGGTACTTGATGATCGGGAAATGTGGTTCCACTGCTCGCGTATGTCGGATTGTTGAAGAGTGCTCTCAGCCTTTCGACGTTAAGCTTTCCTTGCATTCTTGGGCGCACATTTTTTGTTGCACAGAGGTGGGTGCGTATCTTGGCTACAACAAGATAGTGGTACGAGTCGATGTTTGGCCCTCGCAGTGTACGTACTTTAAAACGCTTGAAGCATACCTTCCGTCTATCACAACATGGTCGATTTGGTTTCTCGTTTTTCGATCTGGAGACAGCCATGTAGCTTGGTGGATGCTCTTATGCTGACGACCGAGATGTTGAAGAATCTAGCTTTGATGCGGATTGTGGCTAGACGTTCGTCCACCGGGGTGAACGTCAGTACTCGGCGACGGAGTCCCTTTCCTACCACGAATCCAACACCGAATGTATGCTCCTTTACGTGGTAACTGTAGTAGACGTCGCAAGGCTTCACGCTCACTTTTCCTTGCCCTGTCCATCGCATTTCTTGGGTGGCGGTGATGTCGGCGTTTGTCTTCCCGAGGACATCAACCAGCCGGGCAGAGGAACCTTCCCCATTAAGGGTCCGGATATTCCTTAAATCATAGTGCTTTATACGTTTGCCGT